CCTCCCTCCCTCCCCCCTCCCTCCCTCTCTCCCTCCCTTCCTTCCTTATTTAGACAGGGTTTCACTATGAAGTCCTAGATGACCTGGAATTGCCCTGTAGAGTAGGCTGTCCTTGAACCCACAGAAATCCACCTGCCTCTGCTTCCGGAGTGCTGGAATTAATGATATAGGTCATCACCGATTCTCATCCTGTGTCTCAACTCCTTTGGGGGTTGAACCCCTTTCACAGGGGTTGCCTAAAACCATAGGAAAACACAGATATTTACATTATGATTCATAACAGTAGCAAAATTACAGTTATGAAGTAGCAACGAAAATAATTTCATGGCTGGGGGGTCACCACAGTGTGAGGAACTGTATTAAAGGGTTGCAGCATTGGAAGGTTGAAAACCACTGGCATAGGCCAGTACACCCAGCCCACAATTAACACTTTTTCTTTGGGTTTTAAGACAAGGTCCATATTTCTGAATAAAACCATGCACACTTTTTTAAACATAAAATTCAGTTAATAGTAAATGCTCAGTACGAAAGTTGTCCAGATGCCTGTTTTTCACCTATTATCTGGTGTGTGTGTGTGTGTGTGTGTGTGTGTGTGTGTGTGTGTGTGTGACTGAGTATACGTGAGTATCCCAGGCTGCCCTCAAACTCACTCCATAGCTAGGGATGGCCTTCCATTTCAGAGTCTCCTGCTCCTACCTCCTGAGTGCTGGGATAACACGTGTACACCATCTTGTTCGGTTCACTTGGGGCTGAGTAGCCAAACCAGGGCTTCATGCATCCTAGACTAGCATTCTACCTACTAAGCTACATTCTCCAGCCCCTTGGCATATACTTTAACAGCATCCTTTTTCACTCTCAAAATGTTTGTGTTTTGGTGATAAATCAATACTCCTTTTATGCTTCCATAATTTCTAACATCCTTCGCAATCCTAAAATATTAGATTATCTAACACAACCATGAAGCCTAATCCATTCATTACTGTTCTACCCTTAACCAGTGCATGGGGATTTGGAGAATTTTGTCAACACCTGAGGCTGAATGAAATGGTCTAGGAGATTTAGAGAAAGGCATCTCTTTGGCATTTGAATGAACTAAACAGACATTGTGTTTTACAGGAATCTGGTGAGGTTCTCGGCTAACAAGACTGCAGGGTGGGGGTGGGGCAGTTGTGTATTCAGCTCAGCTCTGCAGTCTGAGCTTAACACAGATCAGGGAATTCCAGAGAGGCTCTCCTCACAGATGCACCGCTTTGGGTTAGATGCTGACAACAAAATCTCCACGTTGGGGCTTTGGTTCCCTAAACCCCAGTGACAGCCGATGGTCTAGAAAAAGATTCTCCCACCATGTTTGAGTTTCAGCCTCAACTGTCATCAGTTTGGTCTTCTGCAGAGGGGTAGAAGGAATCGTTCCACTTGGGGAGCTGTGGTCAGTATGCAAATAAGGAAACTTAAGAGAGAAACCTATTCTAGCAACCACTGGTTTCCAAGTCCTTTCAACTTAAAACAAGAAGGGTAGGCAAGCCTGCAGTCCCAGCCCTTGCGAGATTCCTGTTTGAAGTCAGGCTGGGCTACACAGCCAATACTAGTCAAGCCAAGGCTATAGATATCAATACATCTATAGATAGATAGATAGATAGATAGATAGATAGATAGATAGATAGATAGATAGATAGATAGATAGATGATAGAGATATAAATACATATCAAGTCCTGTATAGGAAGAGAGGAGGTGGGGGAGAGGGAGGGAGGGAGGCAGGCAGCTGGGAGTATAGCTTACCAGTAGAGCACATATACAAGGTCCTGGGTTCAAATAAAATAGCATGCTAACACTTACTTGTTTGTTTGTTTGTTGCAGTACTAGCAAGCAAACCCAGGGCCTTGCACATACTAGGCCAATGCTCTATCATGTGTTACATCCCTAAGATGAGAGAAGAGAGTCACTTTTTAGCCTCTCTCCCTCCCTCCCTCCTCCCTCAAGTGGTCTTTTTTATTTGTTTTGACGTTTGTTTGTTGTGTTTTCAGACAGACTTCTCCACATTCCACAGTCGTCGTTAACTTGAACACATTCCAACCAGACCTTTCTTGTCTCCCTCTGCTTCGTGCCGGTGCAGGTTTCATGGTTTCCGCCACCAGAAACCAGGTGGAAGCCTATGATCCGTAATGATGCTGGCCATTATGGGCAAGGAAGCTTCTTTTGCAGTGTTCTGGGTGACTGCGGACTCGTTGGGAATGAGAGATGT